GTATTGTTGCCAATATTTTTTTATTGTAAGACTTTAGTCTGTGACAAATTTGCCCTAATAATAAATAGAAAGTCTCCATCTACATCAAACACCTGTGCCGGGGGGGACAAATTTGTAAACAAGTTAATATAATTCTTGAACTGAAGTCAGGGGCCACACAAAATCAGTTCAGGGGCCACAAATRGCCCCCGGGCCACACTTTGGACATCCCTGGTATAGAGTTAAGAGATATAATTAAAGGTGTAATTCAGTAGCAAGATAGTGTTTTTAGTGTTTAGCTTCTAATAAAAATTTCTTATATGTGCACCTAAGGTAGATTCTCATTGCCTGTGTATACTGTAGTAGTACCATGTAACCACAGGATTTACCTGAGATCCAGTCTGTTTGCCTGTCTTTTGTACCTGCGGTGTGTTTGTCCGGTGCCACCATGCTGCGGTGTCTGTGCTGTGTCTCTGGAGCTGTTTCTGAGTTGTTGAGAGCAGGGCGGGTGGCTAATGAATGACCTGTCAGAGGTAATGAGGTCCAGAACGCTGGATGCCTCACGACTTCCTCCTCGCAACTCCACTGATTCATGGGCCCGCTGAAGAAATCTGTCTCTGTGTTTCTTCACGGTGATGGGCTGATGCTATAAGCATAAACAATAATACTGGACAACTGCTGATGCATGAATTAGAGACRAGATTACATAAAAACCTTTGGCACATATGATTCACGTGTCGGTGTATTTTTATTATATATTTTTTTGTGTCGTCAGCACCTGGACTATGCCCAGCTATTTCCCATGTCACTGATTTTTACAGTAAGCCTTCCTCTTTCTGCCCGCYTCCCACATTCTTGTCTCTGAAGCTTTGACTCTCCTAGTTGTACTTCTGTGGAACTGCATCTGCAGACTCCACCCGGCCTCTCCTCTTTTGTGCACCAGGAATGTAAATATGGGAAAGGTGTGGTGCCATAAGCTCGCTTTYGGGCTTCCTCATTATTTGCAATTCAGAGCTGGCAAAGCTCTCGGGAAGCKATTAATTTTAGTGTGTGTGAGTTGTGATGCTGTCAGGCTCGTCAGCTTAATATCTGACTCAGTCCATCTGTTTTGGCGCAATACACCATTGCACCCATTCATTTGTTTGTTTTTAAATATTTGTTTAGGTCAAATGAAAATTTGTGTGCAGAATATTAAATCTGACACCTGCACTACTACGAACCAGAAGACATAAAAATGATTACAAACTGACTTATTTATTAATTTTTTTCCAGAAAAAGAGCAGAGAGGAGAGCTGCGGTGAAGGTAGTGGTGTGGAGATCCTCGAGAACAAGCCTTACACAGATGGACCAGGTGGGACGGGTCAGTACACCCACAAAGTCTACCATATTGGCATGCACATTCCCAGCTGGTTCCGCTCCATCCTGCCCAAAGCAGCACTGCGGGTTGAAGAGGAATCCTGGAATGCCTACCCTTACACCCGAACCAGGTATTTGCTCTTTCATGAAGGCTGCTTTAAAATTTACCACAAATTCTGCACAAAATGTAACATATAAAGAGTGTTAAATGTAAGCATTTTCATTATTTAATTAACATTTTGAGTTGAATATCTTAGTTAAAAATTTCCACAAACAAGTAGTTATTTAGCTCACTGATCTTACATTTTTTAAATTAAATGTAAATAATAAATCCTAAATCTAAATGTAAAAATTAAATGTTGAAGCTAAATGTTAAAGTTCACATTGAAGTATTTCAGTATGGAACACAGCCTTTGCTGTTGGTGCTTGGCTTTTTTTGTGACATCATCATGCGACAAAAGCACATGCTAACGCTGCTAATGCTTCCTTGCAAAACATCAAACTTGTTAGCATATTTTTATTTTATTTTATTTTTTTGGAGTTGGCAGCGTTATCATTTGATTTTGTGGCAGGATGATGACATCACAACAAAAGCCGCGCACCAACACTGAAGGCTGTGCTCCATTCTGAAATTCTTAAAAGTAAATTTCATCATTTCGCCAAAACATCTAAGATTTCATTTTTTAATGTACACATTTAGATTTAGGACTTAACACACTCCTATAGCGTTTAACATTTAGTAAAACTTGGCAAAATGTAAGAGTTGTGAGCTAAGTAATGAAAGTGTGCTAGTGACATTTTTTTGACATTTTGTTTTTCGCTTGGGGCCCCATAAATGTAGCTATGTGCATGAGTTTTTGTTTTTGTCTGTTTGCAGATGCATAGTAAAAATTGTAAAGTACCTGCCGTCTTGCATAAAATATATGTATTTAATGCAATTTTCACACAGAGATGCCACAAAAGATTAATTTGATACAAAAGCTGAGGTCCAGCTGTTTCAGTAAAAGCCAAAAAGAGTGAAGGCCTCTGGGTAAGTTGTCAGAATATTACCCAGATTCCAGGACAATGACCCCTCATTCCAAGGATGTCTGTTTGTTTAAGGGGTGTTACTGATAAACCCGGAAACATGATGGTGCTGGGGAAAAAAAGTCTTCTGGACTGTAATGTCAGGATACTGTCCAAGTGCCTATAGACACCATGACGCTCTTTCTGCAGCGACAGATTTGCTCTGCTCTCATATCTCCTGTCTTCAACGCAGAGAAGGTGTCGGTGCCTAGCTTGAGCCGTTCAGTTGGGGAGTTACTCTGTGAAGCAAGGCTGTGTTCACGTTGGATTTGTTGGCATGAGTGCCTGTATTCTGTTTGGTTCCTGCAGATACACTTGTCCCTTCGTAGAGAAGTTCTCCATTGATATTGAGACCTACTACAAACCCGACACAGGCAATCAAGCAGACGTCTTTAACTTGTCCACAGCAGACAAGAGACAGAGGACAATTGGTGAGACCTTTTGGTATCTTTCTCGAGCCATTATGTCTTCAGAAACTGCAATGTTGAATTACCATTTATGTCATGTTGCTTTTATTTATGCAATATTTTTAAGATGTCAGTTTAATATTAATAGGTTTTGTTTCATCTACCTTATTGTTATTCAAGCCGAAGAGGTGAAGGAGGTCCACTTGGGGTAGATTAGTGATACATCATCTTTTTTTTCTCTCTGTCATGAAAGCCACATCTTTTCCATTGAATTTAGCTCTACTAATGAATTAATTTAATTAGTTTTTCTTCTTCTTCTTCTCTGTTAGTTTGCCAGAAGGTCTTTCTAAAATGAATTTAAAACTGCTGAACACAAGCCTGTGCATGTTCTTCTCCACCATTCTAATGAGAGTTGTTTCCTAACACCTGATTCCACCTGACTTAAACCCGATTGATTGCCTTTGACAGACCCGATCGACATAGTGGCAGATCCCATCCCCCCACATGAGTACAAGGCAGAGGAAGACCCAAGGCTTTACAAGTCGGTCAAGACTCAGAGGGGCCCCCTGCGAGATGACTGGATAGAGGAATACAACAACAACCCAGGAAAGACGCCCATCATGTGTGCCTACAAACTTTGTAAGGTGGAGTTCCGTTACTGGGGCATGCAGTCCAAGATTGAACGCTTCATTCATGATGTCGGTGGGTAGAATCTCTGAATTCCGTCCCAGGTTTTTGGTCAGCGTGGTGATTAATCAGCTTCTCGTGTATGTGTCCGCTTCGTGCGCACCTGCAGGACTCAGGAAGGTAATGGTGCGTGCCCACCGGCAGGCCTGGTGCTGGCAGGATGAGTGGTACGGTCTGACCATCGAGGACATCAGGCAGCTGGAGCTAGAAACCCAGCTGGCCTTGGCCAGGAAGATGGCCCAGTTTTGTCAGGCCGAGGAGGCCGCCGAAGCCAACGGTGGCGCTCCGTCTCCGGACAAAGACCAGGAGGTTAAAGAGGCCATCAGCTCTATTGAAGCAGAGGAAGTGGTTGCCAGAACAGGAGTAGAAACCCTTCAACCGCGAGGTGTACTCACCAAGCAGTGGTCCACCTCGTCTCGATCGTCCCGCTCATCTAAGAGAGGAGGTGACATCATCTTCCACTGTGTTGTTCTCTGTGGTTATTTTTGTTGCGTGACTGCACGGTTATGTTTTCTTTTTTAGCATTCTTCTCTGTGTTTCTATGTTCATGATTCCAGCAACAGCTTCTCAGGCTACTCTGATTACCATTTTTGGGCAAAACACAGCATTTCTTAAAGCACGCCTATTACGTAATTCCAGCTTTCTGTATACATGTAAACTGATCGCTTAGAGAAAAGTTAGCAACAATAGAATGCCTTTCTTATCTTTCCTGTCGCACACTGATCAGACTTCGCCTGGATGACAAATTATAATAACCCACACAATGGAAGTGCAAAAAAAAAAAGGGAAAAAAAGCCAATTTATGGGTCTTGCTGTTTGCTTCTCGACTCTGTCTGAGCAAGTCGAAGCACAGGATTGTGTACCTGCAGGGAGAGGGAGCAAAATCTTGTTTTTACTGGGTAGTAGTGAGGAATGCTCCAGAAATTCGCTTGATTTCTCTGTACGTTCTCTTGTGAATTGAAAGGCAATAAAAGGGTCTGAAGGTTTTAATTTTAGCAGCAAAATCACTGAAGTGGAACTGAAGGTTGTGAACTGAGGTCTGAGACTCACACYGGATGTCAGATCAGAGAAGAATTATGTTTAAATTGTTAAACATTGGTGAGCACCCACAAAACAAATGAATATATAAATAATTGGATGTTTGGGTCCAGCTAATTTAAATTACATCTCGTTAGAATCTTATTTATTCAGTCTTGCTTTTTGTTGAAGGGGAGTGGTGTGTTCATTTTTGTCAATTTGTTTTTGATTAATTCAGTCACAGTTTTAGCTGTGCAGATTAGGGTTTTGTCAGCATTTTTCCTTCAACTGCACGCGTGTAGACATATAGTGAGCCTTTAAATGTTAACTGATGGAGTTAAAGTTGGACAGATCAGCTTCTGTTTCTGTCGTCTGTTGTTAATTTCACTGTTTTTACTTCACCGTCCAACTGCTGCAGCCTCGCTCCTTCACACCTGGATTATTCTTAGCATCGATTCACACTCGTGTGGCGATCCTTTCTTTACGTAGAACGCTGTAGACGCCAAATGAACCCCGACTCTTCAGCATGTCCCCCCCAACCCTTCCCTTCTCGTGGTTCTCTGGTGAGCTATTTTTAGCAACAGCGCTGACATCACGCATCCGAGGAGGCTGACGCTCCTCGGGCGACCCTCCTCTCCACCGCTGTCGTTTTCCTTGTGTGTTCTGACAGCTACAGCTGTGTCCCCACAACCTCCCCCCACCTCACCATCC